AGAGTGCGCACATTAAACGTGGCTAGTTTGAAGGGACATCGGGGGCGAAGAAGGGCTTCACACCGTACACACACGCATGTCCTCTCAACCCTCCCCGTTCACCCACCCCTTTTGTCAGGATCTTCAGACGATCGTGCAAACACTAGCGCCTCAGATGGAAACCCTGCCGCTGTTCCCTCAGGTCCTACCTCGACTACCGNGCCTTCGATGTCCTTTCAAACTAGCCACATTTAATGTGCGCACTCTGATGCGAATAGGACAACAAGCCGGTTTAGTTTGTACGCTCGAGACCCTAGCCATCGATGTGTGTTGTATCCAAGAAACTCGCATTCAAGACTCCAGCTCCATTATCCGATTAAAGTCCCCATCAGTGAACTTTCACTTACGCCTCTCTGGGGACCCTGAGGCTGCGGCTTCCGGCCTCCCTGGCGTCGGCGTGGCTCTCAGTGAGAGAGCTGAAGCCGCGCTTCTGGACTGGATCCCAGTCGACAGTAGGTTGTGCTCAGTGAGACTTAGAGGTGCGTGCAAAGTAAACAGCCGTGGCCCCGATAGACGAAACCTGTTTGTCGTGTCGGTGTACGCCCCAAAGGACTAATGAGATAAACGACCCAGAGGCTTTCAGATGTTTAAAACAAAAATCTCCTTTCCACTTAGCCGCATTTAATGTCCGCACACTCAGTCAACAAGCTGCCTTGGCTAGAACCCTTGGTACCTTCCATTTGGATGCACGTTATCTCCGAAACAGGCATACAAGACCCTACTTACTTCATCTCCCTGCGTTCTCTAGATCCAACCCCATGATCACGCCCCACTCTCCTTGTCTTAAGCGAGTCGGTATCTGAAGCTCACAGTGTTGCTTGTGTTTGGATTGCGCTGAGTGTCAAGGCCGAACGTTCACTTCTCTACTGGATTCTGATTAGCAGCCGACTTTGCGCTGCACGTCCGGATGGTTCAGTACGGATCAACTGCTTCAGAACAAAGCTTATTTGTCGTATCCGTGTATGCACCAACTGATTGTAGTTCGCCGGAAATGAAGGATGAATTCTACAAGGACCTCCCAATTGCTCTAAAGTGCTCGGTCAACGGGCATCGAGGTAGTCGCTGGGGACTTCATTGCTCAAATGGGATCTCTGGATGAATCAGAAAGAGTATTTAGTGGTTTACATGCAATCCCAGCTAACCGGACTGACAACGAAGAACACCTACTCCAATTTTGCGCTGACCACGGACCTTTTCTCTAACACGAACTTCTCGCACAAGAAACGGCACTGCCTTACACGGAAACCGCCAACTTCTTCACAGCGCTGGACTCAAATCGACCACGTCGCCATCAGCCACAGCTGGCGAGAATTCATTGAAGACTGTCGCGTAGTGCTAATGGTTGCGCAGTGATTTAGTGGACGTCACCGGCGTGCTTTGGACCCTATAGTGCGAGGTTCGAGCCCTGCCACCTGACTTCGGTAGTAGACAAATTTGCTGTCGTCCGGTTCAATACCACATCGAACCTAGGCGCCCCGTATGTTGTCCGTCACTCCAAGTCCCGGGGTTAGGTTACAGGTTTCCATAACTGAACAGCAGGTTCTCGTGACTATGGGGTTTATCCCGTCATTTGTTCATCAGACTAAGTGATGTGAGAGATAATTGTGGCAGCCGTTAAACAGAGAGAAGACAAAGGCCCGATATCTAGGCTTTATTCAACATACAAATGGACGGCAGAGGTGAAAAGGAATGAGCAAATTTAGAGGGACGAGTACAAAGCAATGTGAAATAACAAACAAAAGTTTAACATAACGCTAAGTTATGTAATAAAAAATGTGATAGATTGTACGGTTGGTGGGAGATTATATCATAACCGCACGTTTAGTCGACAGATAAGCGAGAAGACAATGCCTGATTGATATGCTCTAATCGACCAAAAAACGAGGCATAGAAGCTAAACCGGGACAAGCAAAATGTTAGAGTACACACCGGGAATAACAGCTATTTATCCAACAGAACAGTCGGTAATCTATGACACCTTGTCTTTTTCCCATCCATCCTGTCATCAGGCGGGTAGTAACCTTGCCTTTCTTCTTCCTAATAACTGAGATGTTGTGAAACACTTCCGTATTTCCAGTCATTTATAACACCTACCTTTTCAAAAGCAGGATCACCTGAATGTTCGTCCCCATGATTTCACCCTAATGGTATATCTTGAACCACGGAGTTTATCCCTTTTGCTGTAAATCACTCTATGTGATAAAAAAAAGTGCCGCAAACGGTCAGTTTCATGCAGGTAAAAAGAAAAACCGTGCCGAAGGATTTTTTACCCAAGGGTCCAGGTTTCATAGTATCTGAGAGAGTTATTTTTGTTTCAGAGCTTATTAGGAGAAAGTAATATTTGGTTATCGCGTTTCAAATCTTACTGTTCTTTCAGCACTAATCTTTCTCTGGATCCATTGAGATCATCACTTTGTGAGAGTACGCTGTATTGGTTCCGATAAATACGAGTTACGCTTTGAAATACACTATGCCTACGTACAGGTTCAGTATGGAGATGGCTTGTGAAGGATGTGCTACTGCCGCACGAAATGTGCTCAAAAAGCTTGGGGGTAGGCAGTGTGCGCGTGTTCTTTTCCTAACGTTCCTCATTGGCAGATGGTGTGAAGTCCGTCGAGACGGATGTTGCTAGTCAAACAGTCACGGTACAATCTGATCTTCCACGAGAAGAAATTTTGAGAACCTTGGAGAAAACGCAGAAAAAAATCACTGTGATTTCCTAACCATTCCGGTGGTTGTTGAGTGGAGCTGTATCCCAAACGATGTAATCTCTTGCCGCCACGCCCACCTACACGATTAAAATTATTTCTTCGTTATTTTGTTTTTCTATCATCAATTCCATTCATTTCCACTTGAAGATTATTTTCCCGTGTAATGTAATGCCTTGCATTATTGAGTAATAAATATTGCTAAAACAGCAAGTCAGACTTATTTTCAGTTTTGTCTGGCGATATTCTATTTTGGGCGACCCCACCACAGAGACGTGAAGCGATTGTCTGTGCATCTCTGTAACCTAACGAGCTCCTTATAATGGCCTTTTTCAAGCCTGAAAAACCAGAGGGTGGAAGTCAGACATTGTTCATTCTTTTGGCTTCCTGGACCGTGTTGAATTCGAGAAAGACGATGAAGGAGCAATCGATCCGAGTGGATAGGCCTCGCCCTCCCCTTGCCCAATTTCTTGCGGTTTTGTTTTTATCAAAACTTAACTTCATAGCCGTGCTAGAGGGACTGCAGAGACAATAGAGAATCCCATATCGCGTCGTTTGTTGCGCCGGACAACCGGAGCTTTCGGCTAGTCAAAGCCTGACCCGCAAGCCATAGGGGTAGTGGGACAACTGTGATCCTGTGGAGACCGGTGTTCAGCTAGTCTTTTAGAAAGGATCAAACGTTCTAGGTGCTCGATGCCCAATCAGATCCCTGACCATTGCCACAACCGGAAAGATGTTGGTATGTTTCGTGGTTGCTTCGGAATTAGGGTCTTTCCCACCACCGGAATTAAACTGCTGATTCGCATGTGCGATGAATAAACACCGCCAATCGTAGGCAGTAAGGCTTCCTGAGTTGGAGTCATTCGAGACGCATGGTTATGTGGAAATATTTTACGAGATACAAGAGAGTGGCGACCATTCACAAACTAAGAAACCTGCCCCCGATAGGCTTGACGGTATTCTGCTGTGATGATCGAGA